GTTTCTGGTGACCTTTTCTGTGGAGCTGGGATGGTGATTCGTATGGTAACCTGACCCGAGATCTGATGACCTTTCTATAACCTGATGACGCAGGATTTATTATTGTGCATTTTAAACGCACATCTGGTGAGTGCGTTTTTTATCCATTCGTTTGGCTTGCACCTGTTGTCACTCCCGGATCAGGACATCCACACACTTGGAATTGTGATCTTTGTTTGATCCACACGAATATTTTGAACTAAATATATCACGATTAATCACCTTAAGGTGATACCACCTATCCACATTTATTTGAAATGGCATGGCAGTATGTTTACTAATATGTATTAGCATTTAGCGCTGCACCAACTTATTTGAATACATATATGGTGACAATGAGCTACTCTGATAACAGGATGCAAAACAATAGTAAAAAACAAAAAAGTTAATAAAATAAATTTAAAAAACATAATAAAATATGTATTTTTTAACATACTGTCAGCAGTCAGTATCCCTGATCACCGCTACACCAGTCATATGATGATGTTGTACTGCACTGGTGACAGTATGTAAAAAATGTTGTGAAAAAAACACCCAAATTTAAATTTCTTCATTTTCCCAAAAATTGTGACACACAATTACGTCAAAAAACGTGCCATGCCACTGATTAAATACCTCAGTCTAATTTCCAAAATAAGGTTATTTGTGGGGTATTTGAACTGTCTTAGCATTTTAGGGCCATGAGATAGGCCAGTGATGGCGAACCTTTTTGAGCCCGAGTGCCCAAACTGCAACCCAAAAACCAACTTATTTCTTTCAAAGTGCCAACACTGCAATGAAACCTGAATATCGAGCTTTTGGTTTAGAAAAAACAACTCGTACAGTAGTGCAAACTAATTAACAGTACAGGGATGACCAGAGACTGCGGACACAGTACAGGGATGACCAGAGACTGCGGACACAGTACAGGGATGACCAGAGACTGCGGACACAGTACAGGGATGACCAGAGACTGCGGACAGTACAGGGATGACCAGAGACTGCGGACACAGTACAGGAGATGACCAGAGACTGCAGACAGTACAGGGATGACCAGAACTGCAGACAGTACAGGGATGACCAGAGACTGCGGACACAGTACAGGGATGACCAGAGACTGCGGACAGTACAGGGATGACCAGAACTGCAGACAGTACAGGGATGACCAGAGACTGCGGACACAGTACAGGGATGACCAGAGACTGCGGACACAGTACAGGGATGACCAGAGACTGCGGACACAGTACAGGGATGACCAGAGACTGCGGACACAGTACAGGGATGACCAGAGACTGCGGACACAGTACAGGGATGACCAGAGACTGCGGACACAGTACAGGAGATGACCAGAGACTGCGGACAGTACAGGGATGACCAGAGACTGCGGACAGTACAGGGATGACCAGAGACTGCGGACACAGTACAGGGATGACCAGAGACTGCAGACACAGTACAGGGATGACCAGAGACTGCGGACACAGTACAGGGATGACCAGAGACTGCGGACAGCACAGGGATGACCAGAGACTGCGGACAGTACAGGGATGACCAGAGACTGCGGACAGTACAGGGATGACCAGAGAGACTGCGGACAGTACAGGGATGACCAGAGACTGCGGACACAGTACAGGGATAACCAGAGACTGCGGACACAGTACAGGAGATGACCAGAGACTGCGGACAGTACAGGGATGACCAGAGACTGCGGACAGTACAGGGATGACCAGAGACTGCGGACAGTACAGGGATGACCAGAGACTGCAGACACAGTACAGGGATGACCAGAGACTGCGGACAGTACAGGGATGACCAGAGACTGCGGACACAGTACAGGGATGACCAGAGACTGCGGACACAGTACAGGAGATGACCAGAGACTGCGGACAGTACAGGGATGACCAGAGACTGCGGACACAGTAGAGGGATGACCAGAGACTGCGGACAGTACAGGGATGACCTGAGACTGCGGACAGTACAGGAGATGACCAGAGACTGCGAACAGTACAGGAGATGACCAGAGACTGCGGACAGTACAGGAGATGACCAGAGACTGCGGACACAGTACAGGGATGACCAGAGACTGCGGACACAGTACAGGGATGACCAGAGACTGCGGACAGTACAGGGATGACCAGAGACTGCGGACACAGTACAGGAGATGACCAGAGACTGCGGACACAGTACAGGAGATGACCAGAGACTGGGGACACAGTACAGGGATGACCAGAGACTGCGGACAGCACAGGGATGACCAGAGACTGCGGACAGCACAGGGATGACCAGAGACTGCGGACAGCACAGGGATGACCAGAGACTGCGGACAGCACAGGGATGACCAGAGACTGCGGACAGCACAGGGATGACCAGAGACTGCGGACAGCACAGGGATGACCAGAGACTGCGGACAGCACAGGAGATGACCAGAGACTGCGAACAGCACAGGAGATGACCAGAGACTGCGGACAGTACAGGAGATGACCAGAGACTGCGGACACAGTACAGGGATGACCAGAGACTGCGGACACAGTACAGGGATGACCAGAGACTGCGGACAGTACAGGGATGACCAGAGACTGCGGACACAGTACAGGAGATGACCAGAGACTGGGGACACAGTACAGGGATGACCAGAGACTGCGGACAGTACAGGGATGACCAGAGACTGCGGACAGTACAGGGATGACCAGAGACTGCGGACAGCACAGGGATGACCAGAGACTGCGGACAGCACAGGGATGACCAGAGACTGCGGACAGCACAGGGATGACCAGAGACTGCGGACAGCACAGAGATGACCAGAGACTGCGGACAGCACAGGGATGACCAGAGACTGCGGACAGCACAGGGATGACCAGAGACTGCGGACAGCACAGGGATGACCAGAGACTGCGGACAGCACAGGGATGACCAGAGACTGCGGACAGCACAGGGATGACCAGAGACTGCGGACAGCACAGGGATGACCAGAGACTGCGGACAGCACAGGGATGACCAGAGACTGCGGACAGCACAGGGATGACCAGAGACTGCGGACAGCACAGGGATGACCAGAGACTGCGGACAGCACAGGGATGACCAGAGACTGCGGACAGTACAGAGATGACCAGAGACTGCGGACCTTACAGAGGGGAGGGAGGGGGAGCGGGTACCTGAATTTGACAGGTACCCGCTCTTACTTCCGCAGAGTTTTTTTTTTTTTATCTTACCTGTTCCTCGATCCAGCCGCGCGCTGTCTTTCCGGCTTCTGTAGTGTGGGCGCTCGTCGGACAGCCGGATGCCCAGTGCGCATGCGCGAGAAGCGCTGCGCTTTGTGATTGGTCCGGCGGCTTCTGGGATCTGTCATGTGTCCCAGGTACCGCCTTACCATTCACAAACAGCACTGCTTCTTGTGCATGCGCACTTGGGACCCGGCTGTCATGCACACTACAGCCGGGAAGACAGCGCGCCGCTGGATTCTCCTGGCGTGCCCACAGATAAGGCTCGGCGTGCCGGCTGTGGCACGCGTGCCACGGGTTCGCCATCACTGAGATAGGCCATCAGCACATCAGGATTATAGTTTTTTTTATTCAAATTTTTTTGTCTAATTTATATAATAAAAAATAAATACCCCAGTGGTGATCAAATACCAGCAAAAGAAATCTCCATTTGTGTGAAAAATATTGGTATAAATTTCATTCGGGTACAGTGTTGCATGACTGCGCAACTGCTAGTTAAGGCAGAGTTCCAGACATTTTTGTTTTTATTAAAAGTCAGCAGCTACAAAAACTGTAGCTGCTGACTTTTAATAAACACACACTTACCTATCCCAGGTCCAGCGATGTTCTCACCCGCGCCGTCCCTTCTCTCTTCTCTCCTCCACCGTGCCGGAATCTCTGCTGTGGGCACCAGGCTGTGACAGCTTGGTGCCCACTGTGCATGCTTGAGTTACGCTGCACCTCCTGATTGGTCTGGCAGTCTTCTGGGACCTGTGAAAGGTCCCAGGAGACTACAGGAGGGAGGAGGGGGCCAGACTTCCAGCTCATTTTGCCCGTGGCAAACTAAGCCGGAAGTGGGAGCGGGTACCTGTCACAACAGGTATCTGCTCCCCCCCCAAAAGGTGCCAATTATGGCAGTGGAGGGGGCGAGGAGGCAAATAAGTGGAACTTCTACTTTTGAGTGGAACTCTGCTTTAAAGTAGCACAGTGCTGAATAGCAAAATTAAGTATAACCTTCTGTAGGTTATGTGGTTAAGTAAAACTATAGGCAATTTTTTATTTTTAATAGAGTTAAGACGGATTATAACCCCTGGTCGCTTTAATCTTTGCCATCTCTGTCCCCCTGGAGAGATTTCCCTTCACTTCCTGTCCCATGGCCAAAACAGGAAGTGAGAGGAGGAAATCCCTGCAAATTTAGGGAATTCCTTGGAAGCCCCCAGGTATTCAGAACTATTGTCCCCATTGGAAGATTTTCCTTCTATAACTTTTCTGGGGACAACCCAAGATTTGAGGTTTCTTTCAATTTTGATAACAGTAAACAGGACAAATCGAGAAGGTGAATTTTCCTAATGGGGACACGGACAGCAATAAAAACTGACAGGCATTCTAATCCACCTCCACTCTATCCAAAACTAAAAAAAAAAAAGTGTTGCTTTTATTTATACTTTAAGGGAAAGTCTTCTGGAATTTGCAGTAAAGATTATCCAACCAATTGTAAGGTTCAGCCAACTTCACACACGTTATGTACCTCGTGGAGGTTACATTCAATAGGCTCTCATTGATAGGTCCTGATGACACTGCAATGCACTCTGGGAGAAGAAACACTGAACCGTATCAGGTGACCCTGGCCCCGCCCTCCCCAGCTAAACGCTACAAAAACCCGCCCACAGCACTGATCGCCGTTGCCTATACGCCCCGCCCGCCATGCGTAGCGACGTCGTATGACGCACGCTAGGCTTTTTGACGGCTTTCCGGTGTTAGTACGTGAACGTCCTCTCCCACCCAGACATGGCGCCTGCAGGCCGCTGGTACTTCACCCGGGAGCAGCTAGAACGCAGCCCGTCCCGCCGTGCCTGCGTGGATCCGGACAAGGAGCTCTCGTACCGGCAGCAGGCGGCCAACCTCATCCAAGACATGGGCCAGCGGCTCGGCGTGTATCCTTCTCTGGCCTGTAGCTGAGGCCTGAGGCAGGCAGTGAGGCCTGGAGAGGGGCGGCACATGAGGGGAGCGGGGCGCTGTGATGGCGGTTGTGCTTCTCACGCTCCTACCGGCACGGTGCGGGGCCCGGCTTTACCAACGGAAAGCTGATTCGTTTGAAAGCATGATTGCTATATGGCAGCAGCCGGCAGATTTCCACCGAATTCATGGCAGTGCCACTTCTCCCATTGGATGGGTGGACGCTGGCCTGGCTCTGCTGGGTAGTCATGACTTCAAATCACATCCACACTGTCCTCCTGCACTCACTAATAAAGTAGATGTGAACCTCACCACTAAGATCCTTCATCAGCCTGTCTATGGAAGTCCAAACATTGGTTTCTTTCTTGTAAAATCTGTGACTTGATGCTCCAGTTATGGTTGATTGTTCCTGCCAGAGCTTGGCACATAATGTCCCCTATGTACGTGTCTATGGCATGGAGTGTATTCTACTGGCTGGAATATTGATTTCTGACCATTGGAATAGATGTCTGTACATACGTATTCTCAGAAGCTCCCCTCTGAGTGCCTGGTCACTACAGAATCACACAGGAACATGCTGCACATATGTGTGTGATGCGATTTTTCAGCCCATTTTTTTTAAACGGACTTGAATCGCAGCAGATGTAATGCACGCACTTCATTTAAAAATGCACTGTAACCAGATTGCATGGTACTAAAGGACCATGTGAGCCGGTGCAAGCGAATGTACTGTGATCTGTGTTTGCAGTGCTGTTAGGATTACATTGCCACCCTGAGCAGATTGCACACCTAATTATTTTGGACACTGTGTGGGAAATGCGCATGGAACATGGGTTTCCTACACAGTGTTCTGGTGTGAGCATGCCCTGAGTGAAGTTTTGCTGCTTTTTTATTCTTTTTAATATAAACCACTGCTTTGAATTGATACTAAAGGTAAATTTTTGTTGGAAAATAAACGTGTTATACTTACCAGTGTGCAGTGGTTTTACACAGAGCAGCCTAGATCCCCTGATTCTTGGGTCCCTTGGCAGCGCTCCTGGCTCTTCCTTTCTGTTAGGTGCCCCCATACCAATCAGCTTGCTATGGGGGCACCCAAGCAGGCGCATTTCCAAGCTGCGGGGCTTGGCCCTGACCCCTCTCCTCATTAGCTGACTGGCTGTGATTGACTGCAGTGGGAGCCAATGGCTCCCGCTTTCGGTCTCAGCCAGTGAGGAGGCAGAGACCCAGGACAGCTGATGCTGTCATGCACATCGCTGGATCATGATGGGGCTCAGGTAAGTACTGAGGGGGCTGGGGGCACTGCTGAACACAAGTTTTTTTTACCTTCATACATAGAATGCATGAAGGTGAAAAAAAAAAAAAACCTTGAGCCTTTACAACCACTTGATAATACTGATCTAAATGCCTGATGTGCATGGTTACATAGGCTAATATTGAGCTTTGTTTAGAGGCATAAAAAAATGCCAGCATTTTCTCTGCCTATGTGCATGAAACCATAAAAGGGGCAATTCACCATTATACTAAGACTAAGGGCTCTTTAAAGGTTAAATAACCATTATAATGAGACTAGGGGCTCTGAGAGGGTTCATACAGTGTCCAGAACCTGGGGGAATACTGTACGGACACTCACAGCTGCTGCGTACAGCCACCCATAGAAATCCAATAGAAGATGTGATTGTAGGCTAGCATATGCTGGGGTTGTTTAATGCACATACATATGTTCCAAATGCACACCATGTGCATTCAAAGAATATGTGCTGTACGCAACCCCCAAAGCATACATGTGTACAACCATATCTTGTAATAGATGTCTATGGGTGGCTTTATGCAGCAGCTGCAGTCTTGGGAAAGTGTTTTTGCAGGCTCTGGACACTTTACAGCCGTGTTCATGAGCCCTTACAGTATAATCAATATATCACAGTAGTTTCCACTCCATTGTGCAGTGTAGATTATTGATCTTTGTTTAAATAATCCAACTTCAGTGTGGAGCAAGGCCTCTCCTCCATCCATGAATTTGCATGTGTGCTTTCAGCTTCCTTAGGCCTCGTTCACACCATAAGTGCAGAAAAACTAATGGAAACCGACTCACAGATTTCACTTGCAGAGAGATCAGTTTTCATGCACACATCAATGAGTTTTTATACACATTGCAGATTCCTTTGGCAGAAAAAGATCTGCTTAATACTAGTGTATGAAGAGAGCACAGCGAGCACAATTGATTTTGTTGTGCCCTTGCAGAACGCGTGGAGATAAACACTTCTCTGCACCATGGTGTGAAGGAGCCCTTACCATCAACTCCCCCCACACTCAGTGATGTGCATGTGTGAACTCGTGGATGAGGGAGAGCACCAAACTGTCAAACTATCAAATGGCTGAAATCATAACTGATCACGTGCAGCATCGTGGCAGTTGCAAATCAGAGGCTAAGATGGCAGCTTCCTTGGCTGAAAATGACAGGAAGGAGGGTTTAGTTCTGCTTTAATTTGTAGCTGAGTGGGCCATCTTACTAGATAGCTATTGATAAATCTAAATGAGGATGCACAGACAGATTGTAACAGTTGTGGCCAGCTTCAATCCCAACCTCATACAAATTTGGTTTGGATAGTAGGGAAGATTTAAGGGGTAACTCCACTTTTGTGAAAAAATATAGCAAATAAAAAAAATATATATTATAAAATATACAATTTCAGAGACAGAATATGGAGGTTCTTCCTCCCACAGTCTCCTGTCATTTATTCAGTTTGGCATGGCTGTGCTTCAGAGTCATAAAATCTTTGAATAGAGAGACAAGTCCAGTTGGCCACTGTGGCAAAGGAACTCTTGGTTCTCAGTGGAACACAAGTGAGGTGACGTCACCACAGTTGTAGTCCTCTGATATTACCTCCAGTTAACTGAAGAGGTCTGCAGGAGGCTGAGCATTGCATCCGCAATCCACTGATCGCAGTTGCAATGCTTTTGTTTTAATCAACGTGGCTGCATGTATTTATTTCAAAAGGTGGACTATTTCTTTCAGGTGTTTCTTTGTTCTAGAGATTTTTCATCCCTTCTCTGCCCCCATGATGCCCATGCAAGTAATGGGGGGGGGGGGGGGGTGTTTTAACTCTGCAAATAGCATATTTTAGCCAAAGGCTGATCTCCAGCTTTTAGTGAAGTTTAAATAGTTTGTTTAGACCAAGCTGGTTCAAACAAACTATTACCTTCACTAACAGAGGCAGCAGTTGGAAGCGTTGTATAAACTGCATGTAGCCTCAGCTACATACAGTGCTGTAGGATGGGATCTTCCAGTCCCTCTCCTGGAATAAAATCAGGTCAGGCTGAGTGATACTCAGTCATTTACAGGGAGCTTTTGTATTCTATGTATGATGAAGCCTCAGCTGTATGTAGCCTCTGCTCTGTTGTTTACAATAGCCAACAGCAGAAAAGAAGCTGCAAAGCATGCAGGGAATCCAGGGAGTTGTGGAAAGAGATGGCCAGCACACAGTCATCAATCACAACCTGAAAGGAGATTTTTGTAAGTAAGCTTATATTGGATTGTCAAAATAAGTTGTTTGTAATGCTATCGCAATGCTGATGTTATAAAATCAAAGTGCACGCTGTGACCATTGAACTCCTTTAAATGACACACCTGGTGCCTGTTTATTTTCATCTGAAGCCTTGAAGCAGTCCATATATGTCCTGTAGTATGAGATGCTACAGAGCTCAACAGCTAGAAGTGCGTATTTGGGGCCTATTCACACTTTGTCTGTTTTCATGCAGCAAAACGTGCACATTTCAAGTAGAAATCCAAGTTTCCCTATGATGTTGGTTCACATCAATTTGCTGAAAACCATATGGGCCTATTCACACCTATGTGTGTGTGTGTGTGTGCGTGTGTGTGTTACAATGCACTGCACACAGCACAGTGCAAATCCACATTAATGTTGGTGTTTAAAGGATAGTATCTTGATCAGTGGTCTTTTTCTGCTGCTAAACTTAAAGCAGAGCTCCACCTAAAAGGGGTACTTCCGCTTTAAGGACTTGTCCCCCACTCTCTGTTAAGGATTGGCACTTTGGGGAGTGGGTATCCAATTTTAGCAGGTATCCACTCCCACTTTCGCTCCGACTGCCTATGTGATTGGATGCGGAAGTTCTTACACCACCACCCCAGTCTTCTGGGACACGTGACTGAGTTTTCACAGCCGGGTGCCCACAATTAAGATGACAGAGGACGGTCGGTGAACCCGGCTGAGGTGAGCACACCACTGGATCAAGGGACTGGTGAGTGGCTTTTTTTTAAGTCAGCAACTACAGTCTTTTGTAGCTGCTGTCTATTTTTTTTTCACAGGAGACTTGAATTCCACTTTCAGAGTGCAAAATCAACAGCTAAGAGTAGCATGATTTTGAGCATGTAGGAAAGATAGTCACTTAAAATGTTGTTCACTCCAAATAAATGATGGTTTGAAAGCCTGTATCTGGTAAGATATGTCATTGTTATCTTATAGTTATACAGCAGGGATTAGACAACTTTATCAGTGGGTTAGAATACCCATATAGAACATCTTTGAGATGCTTCAAATTTATCAGCATTTGTATACTGGGCACTGATTTACATAGGAGGAATTACCTTTCTATGCACTATGGGAATGGTTTGTGAGCCTGTTGCCTAGTCTCAGAAAGGTGGGTGTTCATCTAAGGCGTTCTTAGTTTTTTTTTTGTAGGTCATTTGTAAGTCAATATACACAAAGTTTTAAAATGACTATGTAACATGATTGCATCTTCATCAGGTGAACCATCACATAACCATTTCAGGAATGTAACTGTTGGATGAATTCATCTGAATGTAGCTGTTCAGTAGTACTCTTTTCTAGTGTGTTACATTTTAAAAAAGTTGTACGGGAGGGAAACAAGTATGCTTCTGGGTTAGTAAACTTGAAATAGATTTGGTACATAGTTGCCATTTGTGTTACACAATTACAGAATTTTTAGATTTTCCTTAGTTTGACAATCTAGATCCCAGCTGACTATTAATACAGCTATTGTGTATATGCATCGGTTCTATATGGTCCAGTCATTTACGAAATTCCATCGTAATGTAAGTGATATGTGATTCTAGCTCTTATTTCCACCTTTTTTTTCTGCACTGTTATTGGTGATTGCAGCTAAAACAGAAAGCTCTGCTGTATTGTAGACCAAGAAGTCTGTTCATGAAACTTATTTACTAGGGTACTAACATACTGGTGTGTAGAACGTCAGCTATGGTAAAGCTGCAGCTCTCTAACCACTCTTGTTGGTTTTCTTCTTATCTCAAAGGAGCAACTGTCTGCTGTTTTCAGAAAGAACACCAGGTTAGCGTGAATGAGAGTCAAAAATGTGTTGATTGTTGCAGGACATTTCTACTTTCTGGGATGTTGGACACTGGATAGTTAGGATGTGGGGGCAGGATTCCATCAACTGCTGTATTCCAAATTCTAGCACTGCTTATTGTTTGGATTACACTTGACGCTTCATGCACACTGGGCGTTTAGCCACAGTGCATAAGACTGGCTTTTAACTGCAGCAAGAGGGCACAGGTGCACCGACCACCAATGCTGCTTGGCAGCCTGTGAAACTCTGAGAGTCTGATAACTGCTGTGGCTGGGCAGTGCATGTAGTGATACTTCCACTTAGAGCAGTATGCACCCAGGGATGAATGCCAAGAATACAGACTGCTTGTGTTCCGGGCATGTGTCCCTAAGCGTATACTGCCCTAAACAATCACAAAGCTAGGTGCATTGTCCAGCTGCAGCAGCTGTCAAATTCTCAAAGAGTTTGACAGGTTGCTGGCAGCAGGGCTGGACAGCGCTGCTGTGCCCTCCAGCTGCGGCTAAATGTTGCAGCCTCATGCATCGGGGCTAAGTGCCCAGTGTACATGAGGCATTGTTAACCATGAGTTAGTAAATGGCTTAGTATTTTATATTGTAAATAGTTGATATGTTTGTTATCTAAAACAACCTCTTTATTTTTGGAAACCTGTTTAAAACTATACTTTTGTAAAGCTATACTGGGGTTTTTTTCCACTCTACCTGGTATACAACTATTGTGATGACAAATTTCTGTTTTGTATCTGTGTGTTTTGGTTGAATCAGAAAAAGACAAAGTTTATCAAAAGGTTGGTTAAAGTATGCCACTTATTAATACAGTTTTCAACATACTTGTGTTTGTTTCTACAGACCATAGCACCTGCAGCTCTGTTTTTGGCAGCTAAGGTGGAAGAACAGCCCCGGAAGTTGGAACATGTAATCAAGGTTGTCCATGCTTGCCTTAACTCAAAGGAACCCATGCCGGACACTAATAGCGAGGTACATGTCAACTACTGTGTGTTAATTTTCTTGTAGAAGTCAGTTCAGTGAGAGAAGTCATTTGTGATCTAATGGCAAAGGTTTGTTATTAGGAGATAACATATTCATAAACCTTTTATGGATACTCAATTCAATGAAACTTATCATGAGAGAAGCACAAAGGCTGTCGTGTTGTCCCCTTTATTACTGTGCTTTGAGTATTTGAATCAGAGCAAGTATGCAGATGACTTTAGACTTTCTCTGACATTTATGATTTTCCTGCTTATTCTGGTTTACTTTCTCAAAATGTTAATTTATTGGATCAGTTTAACAGTAAGAAAGCTGGTAACTTCTAAGGGGACTGCAGTGACAGTTTTCTAATTATATGTTTAAATAGAAAGGCAACTATTTGTCGTTAAGGGTTGTAATATGATAGGTTACCTTGATATAATTACTGCCTTGAATATTTTCAAACACATTTATATTGTAGCTTGAACTAACTAGTTCATCTTCATTTCCAAAGAGTTTCTAGCTGTGGAAATGTGGCCATACACATTAAACCTTTTTCTTTCTCCTTCATTGAGGGATACAGTAATTCAGAGACTGTCAAGTTCTACTGCTGCCTGCAGGAGAATTGGATAAAGGGAAACCAAAATATTGAGGGCCAGTGTAGTATAACCCCTCCTACTTCCAGCAAACTTTAGTATTTTTGCTGGTGTCCGGTGGGATGGAAATTGCAGAGAAAGGTCTAACCTTTTTTGCTAACTACAGGTTTCCTGCTGTCCTGAGTGCCTCCAGCTTATACTCCAATAATGGTTCTGACTGCAGTGTTCTCCCTGAGATGTCTTACACCGATGGCCTGGAATTTTCCCTCTGCTTGAGTCTATGCCATCTTTACAATTGGAATCGCTAGCAGCTTCTGAGCCTTCAGCCTCGAAAACTCTAGTTTCTTAAAAAATTATCCCACACTTGAGCAGTTGCAGGCTTTGCCAATACTCCCAAACTTAGAGACAGTCTCAGCTTTTGGTGACATGGTATGTACCACCTTAAATCTGGAGAATAGGCCTGTAATATGTACAAGTGCTTTCCCCAGTCTAGGCTTCTTACTATTCCCAAGACTGCAAGATGTTTACAAATGGCTATCAGCCTTGAATAAGCCCAGGGCTTAGTTTGGGAAGGCTGACTTTCTTATGAAAACAGTATCTTTAGTAGTAATCAGCATGGATTTTTGAAAGATTGTTCTTCCCAAACCAATCTGTTAACATTCTACGAGGAAGTGAGTTGACATTGAGATACAGGATGGCCTGTGGATGTGGTGTATCTGGATATTGCCAGAGCATTTGATACAGTTTCCTATAAATGCTTAAAGGAAAGGTACGCCTTGGGATCATGTTACATGTTCCACCTGTTTTTAGGGTGGAACATGTAACATGTTCCCAATGCTGCAGCCACTGCCACTGTGGAGCGCCGTGGTAGTTAATTGAATCTTCCTGTCAGTATATCTGCTTGCCTGTACATCTATATGAGCAAGCAGATGTACTGACAGGTCTGCAGGAGACCTGCATGGCACCAGCGATCTACTGATCACTGGTGCAATGCTTTACAGGCTCCTGCAACCAAAAATAATAAATTAAAATTTTTTAACATCAAACGGAGTGCTTTATTGACCAAACTTAAGATACAACATATTTACTAAAAGCAACATGATATAACGTGAGCCACAATCAGCAGGAGAAAGGAAACAAATAGAACAAGAAAAGAAAATTGTACATCCATACAATACAGCGCTGACATGAGCAATGACAAGACCAGGTTGAGGTAATTCACATAAACAGAATAGAAAAGCCAGTACAACAAATCTGTGCAATGTCAGACCCCAGGAGGGAGAAGGGGGGAATCCTACAAAAGAGGGGAATACAGGGTGAAGCGATCACTACTCCAATAACCATGGATCCCACACCTTGTCATACTTCCAAGGACAACCACGATTAATGTATGTAAGTTTATACATGGGAAGGGCGACATCCACCCATGCCTCCCAGGCCGACAAAGCTGGAAGGGCTGGGGAAATTAACATTTTTTACCTGCAAAAAAATGTGCATGTATTATTTTTGGTTAAAAGGTGAAATTATCCTTTAATTTACAAATTGAGTTCTGTTGGCATGGACCTCAATGTAAGGTATGTACCTGGACAGAAAACTGGTTACAGGGGCTTTTCCAAAGTGTGGTGATGTATAGTGTGTGGTCTGAAGTAAGTAGGGTAACGTAAGGCTCTGAGAGCAATTCTGGGTAGTCTATTTATGAATGATATAGAGGATGGTATAAATAGTTCAATCTCAGTGTTTGCTGACGATACAAAACTAAGCTGGATAATAACTTCACAGCTGGATGTAGATACTTTACAATCTCAATAAAACAAAGGGGTTGGCAACCACATGGCAAATGAGGTTAAATGTTGAAAAAATGTACAGCAATGCGCTTGGGGCTAAAAATATGAATGAAAAGTTACTCACTAGGGGAGAACCTTTGGGGGAATTCAGAATGGAAAAGGATCTGGGGTCCTAGTAGGTCACAGGCTTAGCCATGGCATGCAATGCTAAACTGCAGAAAGCAAAGCTAGCAGACTATTAGCATGCATTAAAAAGGGTATTTACTCAAGAGATAAAACTATAATTATATTTCTTTACAAGACTCTGGTCTGGCCACATCTTTAGTATGCCATCCAGTTCTGGTCACCAGTACTCAGGAAGGATGTTTACTCCCCCTGGAGACAAGACATTTAAGAGGGGTTATGATAGCGATATACAAATATCTTATTGGTGATTCTAGTATAGGGAGGAAGTTATTCAGTCGCAGGGTGGCTTAACAGGACACGCGGTTTAACCTTAAACTGTGTAGAGTTCTTTACTGTCAGAGCAGAAAGGATATGGAACTGCCTTTTAGAGTAGCTGGTGTCTGCAGCAGGTATTGAAAAATGAAAAAAAAAAACTCTTAGATGGTCATCTTAGCGAACGCAATGTACAGGGATATGGGAAATGATATTAGCATAAATACACACATCCGCTGGATGGACTGATGTCCTTTTTTTACCCTTACCAACTATGTAACTTCTTAGAGGCCAAGAATATTTCTTTTTGTTACTCCCAGGCCTCAACCGCCAAAGCCAAGCCCAAGCCTGGCTCCCAGTCTGCTCACAAGCCCTTGATTTCCAAGTACCCCATACCCTCAAGCTAAATCTTTAGCATGAGGGGATGCCCCCACTTTCCAAAGTGCAGGTAATGTCTGCTTGGCTTTCCTTGAGTGTATAAATTGGTTTCTAGGAGCTGCAGGCTAGAATTTTGCTCCCAGTCCCCTCTCCTTTTCTTTTCTTCCAACCCACCTGTGTCACTGCACAGGTTAGCAGATCTCCATGCAGCCTTAGCCCTCCTTTTCAATATCTTGGGAGATCCTCATTGTGGATGCCACCATGTCTGACTAGGGAGAAGTCCTGATTACCTTGTCAGCGCAGGGGTCTTGGGTGCTGAAGCAAACCTGTCTCCCTATCAACATTCTGGAACTTTGGCAGATCTATTCCTTTCTGTTCCTGAAACACCTTCCTGGTCTGCTTCGAAGGATCAAGTTGGAGGTCATTCTGTGGTTAGGCTACTTTCACACTGAGGAGTTTTTGAAATGCTTTTTCGTGAAAAAAAGCGCCTGAAAAGCTCAAGAAAAATGCTTCCATAAGCATGTTTTCACATTGGGACGTTGCACTTCCGTTGCGGTGTAAAAACTCCTGCTTGCATTATCTTTGGAGCATGTTTGTTCAGTAAAAAAAAAAAATGCCTCCTCCCATTGAAATCAATGGAAAATGCCTGAAAAGCGCCTCAAAACACCTCTGAAAAGTGTTTTTGGTGAAGTTTTTAAGTCACGTGTCCTTTAAAAACTCTCAGAAAGCACCTATGCATTTTTGTTGTGTTTTTGTGGCAGATCAGTGTGAAAGTAGCCTTATTCATAGCTTTGGACTAGTCCAGGCAGATGTGGTGCTAAGTAGACTACCTGGCAGATGCTCCAAGGCTTCTTACTGATCAGCTATGTGGAAGGCCCTTAACTGCTGAAATGCATTAGTGTCTCTGTCAGGCTGGTTTCTAGCCATCTATTATAATAAGTCACATTTGAGGATCTTTACTGGAGTGCCGGCTTTTTTTTTGCTTTGGAAGATCTTTCTTTGTAAATGATGGGTGTGAGTTTACCTTACCTACCTGCCCCAGTTCTCCTGTAGGACATAGTATAACATGACAGTCTCTGAATTCCTTTGTCCCTCAACAAAATGCAAGAAATGGATTTTTACGGTAAGCACAGAAATCAGCAGACTCCATGTCTTGTAAGAGTTTTTTTTTCTCTGTAGGGAGAAACATTAGAAGAAAGACCCCGTTGCCTAGTTATCACTGATATTGGGATGCATTGTTTTTCATTTAAAATGTGAGAGTTGTCATTCATTTAGCATTACTTTTATTTCAATATATGAATAAGTGATTTAGATGACTATATTACAGATTGAGAAAGATCTGTTTAATTTGATTGAAATATATGTGAACTTTAGACAGTTTTTCCAATATAGGCTACTTTACAAAAACGCGATAAAAACGCATATGCGGTGTAGTTTTGTTACATTTTTGGTGCGTTTCCATTCATTTCAACAGGGTGGTGCGCGTTTTACTTTAATTTTAATATGAAGGTGTGTTTTTGGTGCAGATTTTTAACATCACCAAACATGCAACAAAAAAGCAGTAAGCAGGACTTTGAAAAACGCAACAGACTCACAGCTGACCAGAGTGAAGAGTTCCATAGGATTTAATGGTCTTGCATTTTTCTTCCTCTGAAATACATGCTTTTTGGGCTGCTGTATTTAAGTCCTGCTTGCTTCTCACCTTCTGTTTCTGGTGCATACATACCAGAGCATGATGTGTGAAATAGCGTTGGAATAGGGGCTAAGGCTTAATTGACTAAGGCATCACAGAATTTTTGTTAGATTGGTTTGGGTTTGGGACTGCTCCTAAGAAAAATGACATTTTTCTTTTTGACATGTATGTGGTAATACTCCATTGTGTCTATGGAGAGCAAAGTATTAATGTAGTCATATTTTCTGTTCCTTTGTCACCACATATTTGTTACTTTTTCATCTTGCATATACCAGTGTTTAAATATTAATATGCCTATACCCTAGTTGTATAAGAGAATTAGATATGTCCAAACTCCTCTGACAATTGTATGTAGTTTACTTTTTTAATTAGGACTTTTTTAAGGGGATTTATTTCAGTGTATTCTGGATATCCATGTCACATTAGTCTAAATGCTGAAGTAGTGCAAACCACAGCCCAGTGCCTGCAGTTGCTGGTGTAGCAATAATAATTGTAGTACAGTAGATATTTTGGGTTTTTTGGCAGACATTGCCATTGTCTTATAAACAGCTGGCATGCAATTTTCCATAACACATCAGGTTTTAAAGAATTTTCTTGATATCCAGAGATGGGAGTCTGATTTTATTGTTGAAATCAAATGAAACTGTACTTCACACATCAGTCATGTACAGAGTATTTTATATATGTCGTGCACATGACTAGATGTTTTAAGTGCTCATTTGCTAACTTTAGTCAACGTTTACTCATTTAACTCATTCGTAAATCAGGCACATGGATGCATAAATTGTATCTGTGTATATTGTTTAAGGACAAAAGAGAGTGCAGATGGTTTATGTACTAGCTTTGATGTGGCAATGTCTTTCACTGGATCTTTGGACTCTGTTGTTTTGGGGTGCATCTTTATCAGCTAGGCTCACCACCTGGTTTTAGTTCTGCTTGTCATGATAGATACACTTGTTTAATTCCTAGATATCATTTGAGACCCTTTTAGATACCTTTTGACAGTTATCAGTGATGTAGAGCATGACCAGATGGTGACCTTGCCCTTATACCCTGGTTGTTTTGTACAGAGTGCATACCAGTGAGTAACTTGCCGTCCTCTCAATAACAGGCATATCTGCAACAAGCCCAAGACCTGGTCATTCTAGAGAGCATTATACTGCAGACCCTGGGTAAGTCTTCCAGAATGGCTGAAAACTGGGAATCCTGAAATGCCCTAACAAAGGCCTGTCCGCTGCCATGGAGCAAACTGACCTGGCAGAAGAGTCTGCAGAATACTGGATACTAATCTTGCAATTGAAGACTTAAAGCATGGCAATATTACTGTGTAAAGCTTGTTAAACAAGAAAAGTTGTTTTATCTTTAGTATTGTTTCTTTCCCAGAAAAAAAAAAATTTTTTTTAATGCTATACAGGAAATAGTTTGATCTTGTGAAGTAAACATTTTTTATATATATATGTATATATACATATTTATTTTTTAATATTACATATGTGTTAAATGCATGCAAAGAGCAATACAATAAGAAACAGTTTGTGGTCTGTTAAGTGGAATGCTTACTGCAATGACAGCTTTGTAGCTTTGTTTCTTGTTATACAGTTATCTTCTATAGTGTATTTTCATGTGTATTTTCTGCTGAACTGCATGCTAGACTTGATTTCCTCCAAGTGGCTAACTCTGCTTCATTTTTTTCAGGATTTGAGATAACTATTGATCATCCACATACTCATGTAGTGAAGTGCACACAGCTTGTTAGAGGTAAGGCCAGTATTTGAGACCTATGATTTGTCATCTGCTTGAAGTGGATGTCTATATGGTCACTTCTGTTTTGTTTTGTTTCTCTCTTTAGCAAGCAAAGACTTGGCTCAGACATCTTACTTTATGGCAACCAACAGGTTAATATAAATGTATATTGATATTTGAAGTTGTGAAATAATGGGTGTTTTTTTCTGATATAAAGAGGCTGGATGTTTTCATGGTGTGTGAGATGCCCATGTGTTGTACTTTTATTATTTTGTAGTGTGTTGAGAGATTAGAGGATGATTGTCAGTGGTGTGAGTATTATCACCTCTAATATTTAATTTGCTTTCCCATAGCTTGCATTTAACTACATTCAGCCTCCAGTACACCCCTCCAGTAGTGGCCTGTGTCTGCATCCACTTAGCCTGTAAATGGTCAAACTGGGAGATCCCTGTATCCACAGACGGAAAGCCGTGGTGGGAGTATGTGGATGCGACTGTAACGTTGAAACTTTTAGATGGTTTGTATTTGTTCTTGTGTGTATATGTTTTATACATGGTTGCTTCAGAAATGTGGATGGTATCAAATGGGTATATTTTTGGGAAATCTGAGAAGATATTTGATTTAGGGTTTTAAAGAATGTTGAGTTTAGGATTTTGAAGATTGTGGGATTACTATGCAGAATGTGAGTAATGCAGAAATGTAATTTTACTCTGTAAACATCACTTTTAAAGGCACAGGTTTACAGTAAAGCTCTCCAAACTACTTTAACTTGGGGATCAAAGATTGGTATTTTGTCAGTACTATATTGAAATTGAATTGTTACATTATAAAGCAGAAATCTTTTAATTTTAGGAAAGCACTTAATTGCCTAAAGCTAGCCATACACTGATCAAAATTTTGATCAGTGTGTGGCTGCCCCTGTTTAACAACAGTCAATTATTTGATTGACTTTTATTGTAGGGACATGTTTTCTTGGTCAGCATCTGCAGCCACTGATCAGTGTATTCTGACAGCGGCGGAATGTGCTGTCAGAATACAATGCCCCAGCAGGGAAGATTCATCTCGTTTGTGTAAATGGAGGGATCTATTCGTTTTTGGCTGAACAATATAAAAATCTAGCTGTGTATAGCCAGCTTAAGTTGGGTATGAGTGTGTTATAAATATCATTTATATGTCTAAGGAGCTTTAGATGGCTAGATTTGGCCAGGTAATAAATGTAATGCCATTTGAAAAGAAAAAAACACAAATTGTGGCTCTATATACTTTACAGGATTTGCATTTTGATTTGTTAGTCTCCTTAGGCCTCTTTCACACAGTCTGTGTCCATTTCAGTTAGCAGAACATATTCTGTTCTGAATCAGAGCGGAACATATGCCACTTTTGTGACATCTGTGTTTGTTCATTTGTTTTGTTTCTGGAGCCTAACGGACCCATGTTAATTCTAAGATCGGCTGAATGTAAACATATTGGTGTCAGTTTACATCTGATTACCTCTAGTCCAGGCATGTCCAAAGTCCGGCCCGCGGGCCAATTGCGGCCCGCGTTCCGGACTGAAACGGCCCCACAGGTGAGCTACCCAAATATATAACTTATGGCCCCCGGTAGTGATTCCCTGAAAGCTACTGAGGACTCCAGCGATCTCTTGACATCATCAGCTGGCGTAGGAAGGAGAGCCCAAATCTCGCAACGTCCGAGATCTCGTGAGATTTGGGCTTTCCTTCTCTGTGTGCCGGCTGATGACGTCAATTCCCGCTCAACAGATCCCTGGAATCCCCAGTGGCGTTCGCAGAATCACTAGTGGAGGGCTGTAAGTTATATATTAGGCAGCTCATATGTGGGGTCCGGAACGTGGGCCGAGGGATCCCAGGTGGTGCGCAGGGAATTACTACTGGGGCTACCATTTACCATTGTTTACTATGTCTGCAGTCCCTGGTCATCTCCTGTACTGTGTCCGCAGTCTCTGGTCATCTCCTGTACTGTCCGCAGTCTCTGGTCATCTCCTGTACTGTCCGCAGTCTCTGGTCATCTCCTGTACTGTGTCCGCAGTCTCTGGTCATCCCCTGTACTGTGTCCGCAGTCTCTGGTCATCCCCTGTACTGTGTCCGCAGTCTCTGGTCATCCCCTGTACTGTGTCCGCAGTCTCTGGTCATCCCCTGTACTGTGTCCGCAGTCTCTGGTCATCTCCTGTACTGTGTCCTCAGTCTCTGGTCATCCCCTGTACTGTGTCCGCAGTCTCTGGTCATCTCCTGTACTGTGTCCGCAGTCTCTGGTCATCTCCTGTACTGTGTCCGCAGACTCTGGTCATCTCCTGTACTGTGTCCGCAGTCTCTGGTCATCTCCTGTACTGTGTCCGCAGTCTCTGGTCATCCCCTGTACTGTGTCCGCAGTCTCTGGTCATCTCCTGTACTGTGTCCGCAGTCACTAGTCATCTCCTGTACTGTGTCCGCAGTCTCTGGTCATCTCCTGTACTGTGTCCGCAGTCTCTGGTCATCTCCTGTACTGTGTCCGCAGACTCTGGTCATCTCCTGTACTGTGTCCGCAGTCTCTGGTCATCTCCTGTACTGTGTCCGCAGTCTCTGGTCATCTCCTGTACTGTGTCCGCAGTCTCTGGTCATCTCCTGTACTGTGTCCGCAGTCTCTGGTCATCTCCTGTACTGTGTCCGCAGTCTCTGGTCATCTCCTGTACTGTGTCCGCAGTCTCTGGTCATCTCCTGTACTGTGTCCGCAGTCTCTGGTCATCCCCTGTACTGTGTCCGCAGTCTCTGGTCATCTCCTGTACTATGTCTGCAGTCCATTGGTTCAGAATTGGTTTTTTTTTCCTGTTTTTTTTTCGCCTCTAAAACCTAGGTGCGTCTTATGGTCAGGTGCGTCTTATGGAGCGAAAAATACGGTATCAATTTGGGCTATAACGGATTGGTGCTCAGGATCGCTTGACGTCATCAGACAGTGCAAGGAGAAACAAAGCCCAAATCTCGCGACCTCCGGGCTTTCCTTCTCCCTGTGCTGGCAGAGTGATTTAACACCTGTTTAGATTTGTCATCCAAGTCACAAAATGAAAAGTATGCCGTTTTCAATAAACTTTTGCATAAAATAGTTCATTTGCATTTAATGTTAATGGTTCATCAGAATGTCGGGCAAAATGGTCGGCCCTCGCACATGTTCACTTCATCAAATCTGGCACTCTTCCAAAAAAGTTTGGACACCCCTGCTCTAGTCCATTGGCGTCTATAGCTGAAAAAAAACTGAAAAGGGCCTATACTGTTTTTTTCGGACCTAGACAGACTTGGAGGTAATTGTATGTAAATTGATACTCCTCTTTTGACATCCTCCTGCCCACGGACTAATAATGAGCTTCTGTTCAGATCCAATTAAGAAACTGACAGGTGGATCTGATTGTACTGCCCGCGTGACAGGACTCTTACAAAAAGTTGTCTTTAGCATTACAATAATTTGAAGGAGATTATATGGTAAGAAAATATTTAGATGTCTTGCTTAGGTCATGTCTGTCTTTCTTATAGCCAGCCTAATCCTACTGGTACACAGGGTGGATTTGATTTAAATCACAATTTAAATCATGATTTAAATCACTAGTAAAAAGGCTTGATTTAAATCATAATTTTTAAAGAGCAACTGTCATCTCTGTCTCGCAGCAGCAGCAGCTCCTCCTCTGACCCGCTGTTGACTCACCGACAGTCCCATTCACTTTATTGGAACAGCTGGTGATGCGGTAGTGACACAACAAAGTGAGAGATGTGGCGGCAGCAGTTGAGTGGATGCCTGCTAACAGGTGCTGCCATGATGGGTCTAAAATGACAGGTGCTCATTAAATAATAAGGAATCCAACTCATTCTTGCTGGTAGTTAGAATCTTTAATATTTGCAAACCAAATGAAGGTTTCTTTTTTAGAATATTAAGCTGTCAGGTTAATAAAACAACAATATCAGAACCGATTTTAGGCTAATAGGTAATCACACATAGTTGGAGAACTACTCAAATTCTTTTATTGTTTTTTCTCATGGTTTCTTTGAAATTGTGTGAATGCATCAATGCAGTGCATGTTATCCCAGCTTGCAGAGCTTGGATTCATTGAATGAGTTTACCAAAAATGTAACTATTGCAGAATATACAGCTTCATGCTGTATAACTAAGCTCCATTTCATGCTGAATAAACTACATTATTAATGTATCTTAAATAGAAAACTAACTTTTAGATAGATTTTTACTCCAAAATCATTTTATTAAAATAAATTTGATAAAAATCAAAAAAATCCTATTTAAATTTTTAAAAAATCAGATTTTTTTTTTTTTTTTAAACCATTGATTTTTATCCACCCTGCTGGTACAGGTGAGGCTACCTTTAGATATTGTTTTTATCAAGTTTCGTGCATGTGTCACATAAGTTTGTGGCTTGCTTTAGTTTTTGTGTTGGTAAGATAAAGGAAAATATGCGGTTGTCTCTTTCCAGCACTGTGTGTTTCAGACATAAATGCTAGGCTAAGTCTAAAGCTGGCCATGGATAAATGTTTTTTTTTTTGTTCATTCCACCTGCGGGTTGAACTAGAAAAAAATTGACCTGATTCTCCTATCCATCCGCACATGCGAAATGGATGGGGAATCCTCCCCACTGTGCCATGGTATTCTGAGAGCTAGGAGACTTTCCTACTGTCAGAATACAAAGGTCAGCACTGCAGTCTATAGCCTGCAGCGTTGATAAAGCAGCTTTTTTTCCAATCGGGTGGTTAAACAAGTAGATCAGTAGGTTGACTACTGTTCAGCCATAGTAGCCATACATAGATTGTTATTTGGGTGGTTTTTGCTGAGCCAGCCAAATTTTTATCCCTGTATGGCTGATTTATACATCAGTGATGTGTATATTTACCAAACTTACCACCCTCAATACATTTTGTGAATGGCGGAGCAGTTCTGTGTTTGATATTGTTTCTTCAGGTAATGTCGTGATTACAGAAGGCTACTCACATGAGAGCAAGAGGAAAGAAAAAGTGCAGGTGTTAGAGTAATGCAGGCCATAGATTTCCGATTTTCTTGCCGAATTATCAGCCGATAAAATAATCGGCCTATATTCGTACCATTAGTGGGGAAAAATGTTGGCCGTTTTTCTTAATTTTAAGAGATTTTGAAAATCGGCCAAGCTGGAAAATCCTGGGACGATTTGTTAGATCAGCCGATTTTCGCGGTAATTTATGGTCAAATCGGCCGTTCTTCTGGCCGATTTGACAATAAATTGACTATGAAGAAAAAGAAGTAATAGAAGAAATAGATTTTTCAGGAGAAGAAGAAATAGAATATCAAGAAGAATAGAAGAAAAGAGGAGAAGATGAAATAGATTTTGCAGAAGAAGACGGAGAAGAAAAAAAGTTGCAACATTGTATCTATTTGTATGCATTTCGGATACAGATGTTTCTATTCAAGTACAAATAGATACAATGTTGTTTTCTTCTTCTTCTTCTGCATAATCTATTTCTTCTGTCAAATATAATAGCGGGTCTCTATGCAGGGACACCGCTATTATATTATTGACGGCCGTAGACGGGACTAAAACCCGCCGACTTTTTTTTTTTAATTAGTGGCAACGTCGGCTGTCTGAACGACCGATTTACGATTTAAAAAAAAAAAACGGCCGATTTTCCCCACGTCTATGGCCTGCATAACTGGATTCCAGAGGGGTTTTTAAAAAGTGTATTTTATAAAAAAAAGCAAACATCTGGCTAGTTGCCAACTAGTTACAGCTGCAGTGTTTACTTCTCAGCTTGCTAACATCTCTGTTAGGGAGCTGATGCTGCTCTTGAGTGCCAAGTAGAATAGCTTACAGGCTAAAATAATGGCACAATCATTTGAACATAGTACACATTTTTGTAAACAAAGCCTGTTTGGAAAAGGAGAATAACTAATCATTTTATCTGATATAACCCTTTTACTGTTGCAACCGTAAATACTGTGGTGCAAGGGCAAGAGGATGTAAACTAGCAATAGGAGCTTTACTTTATTCTGTTAGATCTGCTCTGTGTAGTATTAATGTAAAGCTTCCCATTCACTTCTTCAACTGGCGTTGTGTGTGAAAGTGTGCCCCCCCAATTTACGCAATGGTTTCCAGACTAGCCAGCGTTTCCTGGAAATTTGGAGTCACAAAAACCAGTGTCAGGATGGCAAGCAAGGTGAGATTAAGGAATGGACAGTCCTCTATCTCTTGCCAGTCATCATGGAAGGCTCAGTCCTAACCACTACCAGGTTCAGAGCCATTCGTTTCCAGCCAGTAGAGCCTTGGTAAAAAGGTTCCTAATTTGCTTGGGCAGAGTACAGAAGAGGTGTTATTAGCCTCTTTAAGAATATAATAAATTTAAGTAAATAAGTTTAAAAAAGAGATAAACATTTTTAAAGCCTCCATGAAAGCAATTGCTTGCTAAGAGCATGCACACCTAGTAAACAATGATTATGCAAGTCATGTTGGGTATCAGTGCGTGCACTAGCGTAAAAACAATAATTCCAGTGTCAAAATCTACAGTCTACAGGCAATTCTAAATTATTAAGCTTAAGATGGAACTTTATTCAGAAAAATAAGGCTAACCCCTTTTGCAGGTATAGCTATGTAAAACATTAAAAATAAGTGTTTAAACTGTTTAAAATCCAATAATACACTGTCTCACCCTGCTCTGCACATGCTCAGTTGCTCTCCATTTTTAAACACTGACAAATTACTAGAGGCTGATCTGCTGACAGCCTTATAGCGGAACTTTACCCATAACAACATGATAAAAAAATAATGTTGTTTACCAAGGAACATACATTCTACATCAATAATTATAGAAACAAAATTAGTGTGTGCTGTAAATTGCCTCTAGCGTTGTTCCTGTTTCTTCTTGCTGGAGGCTGACATTTTGCTGAAGCCCAGAGCCCCAAAACAGCAGTCAGTCATAAAGTGGAACTAAACCAAGCGATGTAACTGTTTAAAAAAAAGTTACATTCCTGGAATGCAGTTATTGGTAACTGTCACATTTACTTGTGTCCTCTGAAGCACCAAAAAGCAAAAAAGTTTAAAACTGTATTTTATTTAAAAAAAAAAATGGCATTTGTTTATGAAAGTCAGTGCTTTAGCAAACTAAATATCTAGTTAGGGGTTAGATTTAATTGACCTCTATAGTAAAGGTTTCGTATGCTAAAAGTTAAAGTGAAATGTAGCCCTTCTATAATTTACAGCCAAGGTAGCAGCCATCTTAGCTTCTGTTTGATTTGTAGCTGCCATGGTGCTGCACATGTGATCAGTTATGACACCAGCCATTCAATGATTTGACAGTTCAGTTGAGAGCACAAGTTAAGATATGCATGCTTTCTTATCTAACTTTATGCTGGTGCATCTATTTATTTTCTCTAATGGAAAACAGAAAACTGCAATGCATTATAAAGGCAAATAGAATGTGATGAAAACATAACAGCTGATGAAGAACTGATAAAGAATGAATAGAAAGTAAAGTGTAAGCAAAATCTTCCAAGGAAACAAACGTGTCTGCAAATATTTTGGCTTGGGTAGATGGCATCAGGTTGACGTCAGTTTGAGAGACTGCTGAGATATTCCGAATTCATTGACGGAAGCATTTTTCGTACCGTTGACTTTATTCTGACCTGCAGTTAACCTGCTTCAAGTGGGTGGCATGCACCAGTCACATAAAAGTGATTAAATAGCTGCACAGTCACCTAGATCACTTTTACTTTAAAGCCCAGAGCCCACTGCTAAAACTTAAAAGAAGCTCACAGCTGCTACTGCAGCCCAGAGCTTGTTTTACCACGTTCGCTCTTTGGACATATCAGACACTAACGTAGAAGTGAACTAGCTAAATATTGGAGTAAGAACTTGAATTACACAGTAGGTCATGTCTTACTTTTGCATTCCATGTATACCTGCTTAGTATCCTTTCTTTTTTTTAGATTTAACACATGAATTTCTTCAAATACTAGAGAAAACTCCAAATCGTTTGAAGCGCATAAGGAACTGGAGAGTAAGTAATTACTTTTGTTTATATATTGAAGGAGTTTGATCAGATTTAATATAATATATATAAGCAGGCTCCAACATTAAAGAAAAGAAAACCATGCCAATCTTTATTTTTGAATCTGGAATTTATATACATGTTTCTTAAGAATATCATAGATATTTTGCAATCTTTTTTTTTAAGCAAGCAAACTTATAAATAATTAAAAAAAAGGTTTACTGCATTATGAGAAAATGCATGCATTTACTTACAGATAAGGGATTTAAACCTGCACTCTAGGCAAATATAAACAACAGAAAATTAATGCAGATTGGTATTTATTAATACAATGTTAAATGTCCTTTCTTTATTGTACGAAGAAAGGTACCCGGACCCTGTACCAGACAAGCAGTGATCCCCAGCTGTAAAGCTCTCAGCCAGCACTGGACTCTGTGTATCGGGACTGTGTGTAATAAAATATTGCCTTGCGGACCTGCAGAGTGCTATACAAGTCCAGGGCAGTCACGTCCCTGAAGACCTTAGTGGCATTGGCCCAGTGTTGAATTTTGGACCCGGGGGACATTTGGTGTGGAATGAGTGCCCTAGTGCTAGTACCCTTTCCTTCTTGCTTTGGTTTCTGTTATGCCCTTTGTGGTCTCCCTCCCCTTTGTGTAGAGGACTGCAAGTCTTTTTTTTTATCTATTTCTTGCTGTTAAAGGCTACCTCACAGCCACCCTGTGCACTTCTTGGCAGTAGTGGTTTTAAGGGCAATCTGGGAGGCTCTGGGCGCAAAATAGGGAATGCGTGAAGCACTCCTCTCCCTGTCTCTGGCTGGGTATATGTGGTATGACTGGTGACATCACAAAGAGGTGGCGTATACTGGCGGCTGTCATCTTGACTCTTTCCATGTGTGTACAGCCGGCACTCCACATACACAGGGACAGCGGACACAGATGGACTACAAGTTTCAGCAAGTATTCTCAATGCTTATGGCGCAGCTGGTTTTAGTGCTTGTGTTAGTCGCACCGCATCCTCTCAGCTGTCTTTGGATTGCTGATTAAGCAAGGGTCCAGTTGTATTGGTTGGCAGGCCATGTCTCAGTGACGGCACATGGGAGGGAATAAAGGCAGTGAGGTTTCCCGTATTCCTTTATCAGGCAGGGAGGAACCTGAATGTAGCTCCCTTTGCACTGTATCGCCTTGAGGTCAGTTATTTATATGTTGTTCTGACTCCCTTTACTTGTCTGGTCTTTTCACTGTCTTTGGGGCACCTTCCTCCAGTTCCTTTGTACCAAGGGTGGCTGTAGGAGTGTGTCAATTAATCAAGACATAGGCTTATCGGATGATGAAAAATAGAGACCTTGACTGCGGAGACAATGAATTGGGCTGATACCTGGAGGATTTTTCCTGTGGCCTTAGTTTCTTGGTGTATGTCTTAAAGGATAAGTTCACCTTTTATAAAAAAAAAAATAATGAATGCACATTTTTTTATCTTTTTGCAGGTAAAAAATGTGTATTTTTAATTTTTTTTTAACTGGAGCCAATAAAACATTGCATATGTGATCAGGAGATCACGGGTACAATGCCAGGCTCCTGCAGACTCTTAGTAAGTTGCCTATCTGTACCTCATAAGAGCAGGCAGTTACCGAATTGAAGGAAGAATCAGTGAACTAAAGAGTGCTCACCATTACCCGCACAGTTCATTAAGAACTATAAGCCGTCAGTTCATTTGTTCCCAGAACTCTGTTTTTAAATTATTACAGCTGGTGTGGAAAAAATATCCCATGCCCGCTGTCACAGGGTAGAAGGAGAGAAGGCAGGAACTTGGAAGACATAACATGTTCCAAAGGTGAACCTGGCCTTTAACCTTCCTGGCAGTAATCCCGAGTGTCACTCAGGTTAATTTCAGTACCAAAAGCGGTAACCCCAAGCAACACTAGGGATTACACTGCAGTGATCCCTCGAGCCTTACCTTGTCCACTACCTTGTCCCATGATCCCGCGAGGTCCTCTCGCTGTGTCCCCTGGCCATGTCTGCCGACCGATGCCGGCATCCATCTTCCGGGTTCTGTTCCCTGCGAGCATCGAAAAGTACGGGGGGCGGAACCAGCAGGAGATTAAAAAAAAGTAAAAAATTTGACACAAACACAATACACTGTAATCTCTTAGTATTACATTACTGTATCAAACCATTTCACCTAAATTTTGCCCGTAGTGCTTTGTCCAGTGCCCTGCCTGCACTTTTACCGTTCTTTTTGTCTGGAAACTGAGAAACGTCCATGGCGTCAAAGAGTGTCCCTTTTAAGCACATGCCGCCCAGCCACTGTAGAAATACGTTGGCAGGGCGGCACGGGTGGGCAAAACCACGTTTTAAAACGTGTGTTTTCAAAACAGGTAGGGGGCGCGCGCGCGCGAGGCACGCCACCACTCTACCTGTCCCACCGATCACAGCCGCGGATGTCAGTCGCCGGGTCACAGCCATTCGTTACCGGCTGTGTCCCGGCGATTAGCGGCAATCACTGACAGAGAGCAGGGCTGCAGTAGCTCTGCTCTCTGTCAGTTCCCTGACAGCTCCTGACAGGCTGATCGGGAGAGAAGAGTTTATCTCTCCCTATCAGCGTTTCCCTCTCCCGATCAGTGTGTCCCTGTGCAGTACAAATCCCCGCCCCCTAGTAAAACACTCTCCTTACACAGTTAACCCTTTCACTGCATAATAAAGTTAACCCCTTCCTCCCCAGTGCCATTAGTACAGTGTCAGTGTTTTTTTTTTTTTTTGCACTGATCACTGTATTGGTGTCACTGGGGATGTCAGTGACCCCAAGTCAGTCCCCCCCCCCCCAGTGTCAGAATGTCCGCCGCAGTCCCGCCATAAGTAGCTGATCGCCGTCATAAGTCGCTCATCGCTGCCATTATTAGTATAAAAAAAAATTAAAAATCCCAGTATCTTTCCCGCCATTTGTAAACGCTATAACTTTCACGTAAACCAATTAATTTACACGTATTGGGTTTTGTTTTAGCAAAGACATGTCGCAGAATGCATTTTGGCAGAAATTTATGACTAAATTTGATTTTTAAATTTTTTGTTACTGGACATGTTTTATAGCAAAAAGTCCAAAATATTGTTTTTTTTTTTCCTCAAAATTGTCAGGCTTTTTTTTTTATAGCGCAAAAAATAAAAACGCACAGGCGATCAAATACCACCAAAAGAAAGCTTAATTTGTTGGAAAAAAAGGATGTAAATTTCATTTATGTACCGTATTGCATGACTGTGCAATTGTCTGTTAAAATTAGCGCAGCGCTGTATAGCAAAAAAAATGGCGTAAATTGCAGTATCTATACCATAGTTTGTAGACGCTATAACGTTCACACAAAGCAATCAATATACACTTACTGGGATTTTTTTTACCAAAAGCATGTAGCAGAATACATTTTGGCCTAAATTTATAACTAACTTTGAGTTTACTATATATTTTTTATAGCTGAAAGTAAAAAATATCATTTTTGGTCTTTTTTTTGTTTATAGCATGAAAAATAAAAAGCGCACAGGTGATCAAATACCACCGAAAGAAAGCTCTATTTGTGTGAAAAAAAGGACGTAAATTTCGTTTGGGTGCAGCATTGCATGACTGCGCAATTGTCAGTTGAATTAGTGCAGCGCCGAGTAGCAAAAAGAGGCCTGGTCATTAAGGGGGGTAAATCCTCTGGAGGGCAAGTGGTTAAAAGCAGTTTTAGACCAGCTAGAAAACAGCGATAGTGAATTAGAATCACTTGCAGAATTGAGTGATAGTGATTCGTGGGAAAATTTGTCATCAGACACTGGAAACGATTCTGCGACTGAACTCAGTGATGTGCGAACTTGGTGCTCTGTTTCAAATTTCAGTGTTTTTGGTTTGATTACATTTTTGCATTAAATTTGTTACTATTTTTTATGATTATTTATTATAATTTATGATTTAGTGTTTCAAACTTTATCATACCGGGATGTTTACTAGACTCTTGTTTGGACAGATTTAAGTGAGTTATTCCTAAGAATTACAGGCCTACAATATAAAATTACAAATTTCCATGAAAACCAATGTACCGCTTTGACATTCAAAAATATTGATTAGCTAGACCGCCAGGGAGGTTAAAGGATTGCTTCCAACAACTTTCTTGTCTGGGTGTCTTGGTGGTGCACATGCACAGGATATTATGGCTGAAGTGTGGTCAGAATTGTCTTGTAACAAGCAGGTTAAACGCTTACCTTTTCAAGGTGAATGTTTGGTCCTGCCCTGGATGATTACACTCAAAAGGTAACAGTGGACAAACGTATCCTGTTGCTGCTTAAAAAGTTGAAGCCTGCGGTACAAAAACCTGTTACTCCCTACTTCCAAATAGCATTTCTTTCATCAATCACAAACCTTGGGATCTTTTGGCGTCCAGGTTCAAAGCAAAGCTGGACAGATTCGTATCCAGGACCAGAGATCCCCAAGCATTTGCAGTGGATGATCTGGGATAATTTCCCCCTAATTTATGCCTTTTCACGTTTACACTTTCTAACTTCTTTGCTTTGCTGGATTTGGATAGAAGAAACTCTGGTGATTCAGATCGCCCTAGCTTGGTTCAGGAGAACATGACACTCTGACATTGCAAACTTGTCGGTGGGTGAGCTGTGGATCCTTCCAGATCAACCTGACCTCCGGTTGCAAGGTCCAGTTCTTCATTATTATTTACAGTTGTCGACTTTAATGGCATGACTGATGAAGTCAGGGTTTGGGAGACGGTGAAGGTGTGTGTCTGATTTGTTAATTTCTACCCAGCTAGGAAGGCGGCTTCTAGTAAGATTTACTGTCTGACTTGGAAGTTTTATTTTGCCTGGTTTGAGGCTTGAGGACTTCATCCTTCATAGGTGTATTGTTGGCTGCATCCTGGCATTTCTCCATTCTGGAGTTGACCAGAGGCTGGCCTTGAGTACAATCTAGGTTCAGATTTTGGCCTTGGTAGTACTCTTTCAGAGCCTCATTCTTTTACATTCCTTGGTGCGTGCTTTTGTACAAAGGCTCACATGTATTGTTCCTTCTGTCAGGACTCTGTGGGACCTCAATTTGGTACTTTCTGTTTTATAGAAATCTCTGTTTGAACCCATCTAGGATATTCCTTTATAACTTCTATAGAAGGCTGTTTGTCTGGTTGCCATTACTTCATCTCACAGGGTTTCAGAATTTACTGCTCTTGCCTGTAAGGGACCATTCCTGGTTATCCATAGTGACAAGGCTGTCTTTTGGCCTTAGCTGCTGTCTCTACTAAGGTGGTTTCCTCTTTCCATCTTAGCCAGGATATATAGTGAAGTATGTGAACATCAGCTGATGCTTCTTATGAACAGCAATCTTAAAATGTTTGAGTGTCTTTTATCAAAGCACACCTCCAAACTCATTGCATTAATTCCAGGTGTGAAAACTACTGAATCCAATTGACTTTCCTTGAGGTAATTAGTCTATGAGTTCACTTCTTTCCTCCAGTGCTGTGAATGTTTAATGGGTGTGTTCAATAAAGACACGAGAAATTAGAATTGTTTGTGTGTTATCAGCTTAAGCACACTGTGGTTGATTTACTAAAGGCAGATGTGCTATGCACTGCAAGTGCACTTGCTCCAGAGCTTAGTAAATGAGGTCAAGCTTCACTTTGCAAAGAATACCCAATCACATGCAAGGAAAATTGGATGATAGAAATCAGTAGAGCGTCCCCTCATTTCAGAGCTTCTACTCAGATCTAGAGCAACTGCACTCAGGCTCCATGCACACTAGCATTTTTTAAGCTCCTAGAAGCTGTTATTAGCATTTTTCTGCTCCTGGAGGCTAAATACTGTTATCCTATGTGTCCATGCACACTACTTTGGCTATTAGCATTTTTTGAGCTTCAGCATCTAGGAGCAGCCTGCCTTTTAATTACTCAAAGCCACAGGATTTTATTGTACAGTATTACAACCTTGAGTATCACTTGAGCCAGCCACCGATATTCTTACAATTGATGATGTCATAGGATGTCCGGTGCCTGAGAACAATCTTGTATGCCCGTCTCTGTCAGCACTTTGGTCACATTGTGAATGAGGGAGAAAAGAAACATTGGCATTCTTGTCAGTAATAAATTGAATCTAATGTTGGGTGCCCTATATGTGTGGATGCTGCAGCTTTATGTAAAACTAATTACTTGGATTTTAGAATGGGGTGTCTCGAGATTGAGAAGAATTTTAAAGGGCGCCATGATTGAAAAGAGGTTGGGAAACACTGCTGTGACATATATGTAATCACACATTACTGCTTTTATGTACTAAGAGCAAAATATTATCTTTACTTGTTGTATCGTTTATGCTGGACATTTATGTAAGCTTAATTTTTTCACTACATAGATATACCAAGCAAACAGAAAGCCCAAAGAAGATGATGGAGAAGATGAGGATGGTAACGACAGCCTTTCTGATCAGGCTTTACTTAGGATGATCACCCGCAGTGGACCCATGAGCAAATCCCCTTTTTCAGATTCTTCTTCCCAGCCTTTCCCAGTATCAAAACAGGATTCTGAAATGTCTGGAGAATCATGGGGAGCCCCCCAAAATAACCAGCGGGAGCACCAGAGGACTAGTGATCTTATTGCTTGCACTGATCAGTCACAGTTGCCAGGAAATAAACCAACAGTAGCAAAAGTCTCACTGAAGGAGTATCGTGCAAAGCATGCTGAAGAATTAGCAGCACAAAAACGTCAACTAGAAAATATGGGTGCTAGTTTAAAGGAACAATATGCCTCTGCAGCTCAAAACTTGCTTATACAGCAGCAGAAAGAACGTGAAAGGGAGACTCATGCCTCACCTATCATTTTGAAGATACCTTTGCATGAGGTAAGCCATGAGCGGACAGAAAAAACCCCTAGCCTGAAACTGCGTCTTCCTGTGCCCACCCGCGAGAAACCTGAGGACACAAAGATCCGAATAAAAGTGCCAAATGAAGAGAGTAGTAGCAGCAGCAGCAAGGTCCGGGACAAACACCGAAGCAGTTCTTCATCGTCACATCACCATCACCACCACAACAGTCAGTCCCATCGTCAGCATCATCATAACTCTTCCAGCTCGAGCAGTAAACGATCATCTTCTAGTGTGGGAGGAACATCGCACAAAACATCAGATGCATCAAGAAAAAGACCTTTACCTGAAGATAACACTGGTCATGATCCAGTTTCTCAAAAAGTGAGCAGGACTTCAATACCTTCCAAAACTGAATCTCCAGTTGCACAGCCAGCACACAGAGCATGGAGTAGTCATAGCATTCATAACAAAACAGATAGGGAAACTTCTGGTTCTGATGGGCACAGCCTACCAAAAGTAATTGATTACCAAGACACTGTAACCATGATACATTCACTGCTAAGTGCACAGGGAGTGCAACCCATACCACCCCCTCAGTATTTAAATCAATATGGGGAGTACCGTAAGCATAGGCCTAGCAGCACTGATAAACCTAGGCCTCCCCCCCTCCCTTCCGAGCCACCACCTCCTCTGCCACCACTTCCAAAATGATGGGAAAGTGATTGGGCATGTTTATGTAGCCACTTTTCAGCACTATTACACCAGCATTCAACTTTTTCTCAGCTGTCCTTTGTATTTTATTGATCAACTTTCATGTCGAAAGTAACTTCTTAAAACTGTTCTTTTTTTTTTTTTTCTTGTGATTCTTGTGTTTCTTCCCTTTACAAAAAAAATTCAAGGTGTGCCTGCTGTGATTTTTGGATAACTGGTCCATTGGTCACCTCACTTATCATTTTAGTCTTACAGCTTGGCCACATAGGTGATTATTCAATGGTGGTTCAATGTGCCCATGAATTATAGGCTTTGGAAAATGTCTATATGGAGCTAGAATTAGTTACAGGTACCTGTGATTTTAAGGAATCCTCAAGCACTGTAGCAGTTGTTCCTAACTGTCTCAAGTTCCTTTTATCTGGGTACTGGGTTAAAGGCAAAAACCTAACTTTTGCAAAAATGTAATAAATACATCCACATTAATAAAAGAAAAAATGCGCATTCATTAAATTTTCGCATTAAAGCCTGCACAGCATTGCAACCATGATCAGTGCATTTCTAGTGCTCTGCACAGGCTCCTACATTGTATACAGAATCCCATGCCCAGGTCTGTACGGCGGTGTGGACCTACCATTAGTAGCTGGTGGAAGTAATCAATTGACTACAAGTGCGGCGATGTCACTGCATTTGTGCTCTACTGAGATCTGTGAATCCACCAGCTGTGGTGGCAGATGGAACTAGCAGTCTTTCCATTCACAGATTCCTGTGAATGGATAACGCGGCTGTGTGGGCAGATCACAGAATGCTCTGGGGAGAAGCACCTGGCGAATCAGGTAAGTGGAGGAAGGGTGGTTGGGGAATGTGACAATGCTTCATGTTACACACTAAATATGGTCATAAAAATGGATTATGCCTTTAATTTCATATGTACTTTTTCTGAAGTGTAAGCTGTGGCATTTTGAAAATACCTTTGTAGCAGAGACCTTATGTGTGTTGTCTATATTTCCATTACTGCTGTCCTCTTTTAAAACGGGTTAATGGTTTTGATAACTATACAAAGAAACATAAAAGATGATACAGTGATTAAGAAGCTATTTTAGCCAAAATATTGTAAGAAAAAAAATAGAGGTACGGATTTCTGCTTGGCCATCATGTATTCATATATGTTCATTTTCTCATCTCAGGATTTATGTATGAAAAGCTAGCTTGCATGTAAAATGGAGTCGTATGGCTAAAGCGTTCAGATACAAAGTTTTCTAAAGAAACTTCACAAAATCTGCACTGTGCCCTAGATGTCCTGTAGCATTTTTCTTTGTTGTTTAGGAAAATGCATTTGTTAAACTACTAATAACATTTACATAGAACGTTCCACTTTTTGATACTTTTTTAAACTTTGTATTTCTAACAGATTCCCTCTTATTTTAAAATTTGTGCATACAGTCATACCCTATATTGCTTTTTGTTTCCATTGCAGAACAGAGACACTATTGTGTTGTATGCAGTATCAAAGTCCTTGTGCTCATGGCTGACAGTCTGAGGGGTTCATTAGAGAATGGATGAAGATATTGTTTATACCTTTCCATGTCTTCAAACGTTTTGACTAAACTCCATGAGAACTAGGGTTCCATTACTGCATAGAATCAATGTTCTCTGCTATGCTTCTGCTTTTCTGCAGTTCTAAAGTCAGAATAAAGAAGACATGGAAAAAACAAGATTGTGTGCCCTTAACCTTTGCTACAGTTTGCAGTGGCAACTGAGGACACTTCTCCGACATGTCACTGACCTGATTCTTTGGCGAAAATAGCTAATGAAAATATTTTGAGAAACCCTCACATCTTCAGTTTTTGTCATATTAAATTATCCATGTGTATAGCAGTTGAACTTTCTCTGTTATACTATCTTGACTGTTGATTTTCTGTTCTTGCATAAATCAGTGTTTCCACAGCACCGTTATCTTAAGAGATAATCCCAGTTTTCATTAGCAACCTGAAAGTCTAATTGTTAATGTGATATGGTGAATACATTCACCTGCTTAGTCTCTTATGTCCCTTAGAGAGTTTAGCAATGAGCTGGAAACTATAGCGAAAAGATCTCACTGCTGAAGGCACCTTAGCATCTTATGTCTCTTGGGATCTCCAGCCATGAGTCCTCCCCACAGTTTCCAGTTCTGCTCTTAAGCTGGCCATATAGTATACAATCCGACTGTACAACTTTTGTACAATCTTCTTTACCAAAATTCTATAATATGGAGACAAACCTACACAATCTTTTTAATTCGTATCAGATCAGGCAGGTCTGTATACCACATAGTTGTTGGTAGATATAAAGGAGACTGTATAGTGTATGGTCAGCATTAGAATATTGCTCCTATAACAATACTGGTGTTTCCATTCTTCCTTTTGCATTCTCCCTGGGGTAAATGAAAAAGAAAACCAACATTGAAATTGGGATCCCTTTTAATTGCCTAACTTCTGTCCAACCATATAAACAGATGCAAAGAGAGACTTAAGCAGCAGTTATTGCACTATGACAGAATTCTAGAGTATTCTACTCTTAAAGTACGCTTTTTTTGAGTGAAATATGGGGACTGACAGTTTTCTGAATATTCTATTTGCCCGTCTTTAAAGTGTTACTAAACCCAGGAACCTGCATTTGCTATACCTGGTCTCCCACAGTACACAGAACGTAGAAATGCAATTAGTTTAGTAAATATAAACTGCTAAATACTTTTTCTCATCAGCAGTTAGAGCAGTCTTGGGAATTCTATCAGTGTTCAGCAGAGCACTGGTTAAAGCTTGTAGGAGGAGCTCTTTCTTCTCTAGGAGGATGCAAAGCCCCTGACCGCTGAATAGAACTGATTGGCCATATGCTGATCACATGCACTCTCCCAAGAAAAAAAAAAAAAAACCTTAAGCAGTATACACCAAACTGAGCATGTGCAGAGTGTCTCTACACGATATGTCTTATCAGGAGATAAGAGGGGGACACTGGAAGAAGGGGAGGATCAGAGAAGTCAGGATTAAACAGCATTATTACACAATGCAGGATTAACCCGTTAGGTTCCACGGTGAGTATAACAAGCATGCTTTACTGCATATACAGACTGATTTTACTGTTGTGGGTTTAGTTACACTTTAATGTGTGCAGTGTTTTTCGAGTCGATGACTTGAATATCTGTGCAAATCAGTCAGAAGTCTTTATCTGCATTCTCATTCCAAATGAGCTGCTTGGAGTAATACAGTAGGACACTGGACATGGCAGTCGGGCAACTGCTATTTTTTGGAGATGTCAGCAGTGGAAGCCTCCATTTTTTTTCTCATGGCAGGTTTCTGTCAGCTTGAAAAATGATTGCTTTATTCTAACAGAAAAGTAATTTGGGTGCAGTCGTGTTTTATAAGCATTGACAAGAAATAACTCTTTAGCTCAGGAGGAAGCTGGCAATTTTTAGTAGTATAAAGAGATGCTTACCTTGGTCCAACAATCGCTGTTCTGGGGGGTTGTTTACAGCCCTGCCACAAGTCCTCTGTCTTTTGGCTGCACCTGCCCTGTAGATCACCATAGCAGTCTATAGGCCATGCTTCCTTGCATCTCCTGGCAAGAGACAAGAGGTAGACAGGCTCCATATACTTGTATAGGGCTATGGCTGTGCAGGAGCAGTCATAAGACAGGGGACTTGTGCCGCAAGATGTAAACAATCCCCAGAGGCTGTGGCCGATGGATCCTGGTAAGTATGCATCTGTGGAGAGAGGGGGATCGAATAGGTCATCTTAAATGGGAAATCAGGATAAGTTAATCACACAACTAAAATTGCTAGGGATTAATAATTAGCAGTTGATTATTACACTTATGGTGCAAACAGCTCACTGTGGTGTAAGCTATACATATAGTAATGATTATTTGTAGATAACACATTCTGAGCCCTGCAGGATTAACTACTATTACATGCTGTTTGTGTAGCTAACAGCATAGAATGCCAGTTGTTTCAACTCTGTAGCAATCAGTTGCTAGACTTAGTGATTGTGATTGAGCTGCTAAAAATCACCAGTGTGCTTCTTTCGTTAAGCATTTTTACTTCTAACAAAACATTTTCTTCCACGTCTTACACCAGAAAAAGCATTGATTTTTGGAGATGTAGCCGTCATTTATTTTCAGCCACCTACAAATGCTTCGTTCTTACACTGTCAAAGCCCTAAAGGCTTAAATTGGTATTAAACCCAAAACCAAACATGTATATAATATTGCAGTGTACCAATCATTAAATGTGGTGGCTACATTCGTTATCTTTTCTTTGACTTTTGGAGAAATGAACATTGGAGGCACAGCAGACCGCAGCATCATCAGTCTGGGGGGGAAGTAATGTTTATTTCAGGTACTTGTGTAGCCCTGTCAATGTACGCAGTGCTTGACATTTGTATTATACATTCACATCAGTCCCTGTCCTGAAGGAGCTTTCAATCTAAGGTCCTTAACACACATTCATACATACACATACTAGGGCCAATTTAGACAGGTGCCAATTAACCTACCAGCATGTCTTTTTGGAGTGTAAGAGGAAACCAGAGTACCTGGAGGAAACCCACACAGGCTCAGGGAGAACATGCAAACTCCAAGCAGGTAGTGTCGTGGTTGGGATTCAAACGGATGACCCTAGTTTACCAGATTTAGAACCATTAACAAATTGAAGCCAAACTATAGCTCACACTCTATAAGTGGTTACAGCAGAAGTTTGTTTTTTCTTTTTGGGATAAAGGTTTTACATAAAATAAAGCTGATCATTTTAATCACCCCTGCCAGTGTTAGGTGGTTTGTCTCATCCATGTAAACTAATACATTTTGCTTGATAGTTTGTGCTGTGAAAAACAGCAGACGTAATGACCAGATCACCAGATGAAAATAAAAGGAAGAACACCTAAAGAAGAAAACTAATGCAGGTATCTCCTTTAAAGCCATACATAGATTGAAATTTGGCAAGTTCAGCAGAAACCGTCCGAGATTTGATT